GCCTCCACCCGCACAGCAACCTCCAGCGTTACCGCCACGGCCGGCGCCTGCTGCCAGCAGTAATGGCGGCGGGATGATGTTCGGGAAGCAGCATGACGTCAGCGAGTGCATGGACAACTGTATCTTCCAGATCGAGACTGCTCTGCTTAAGTTCGGCGGGGATCTTGACGCCGAGGGCGACAAGACGAGCCTCGTGAAACGGTGCGCTTTGCTCTCTACCCCGTGTAGGATAACGATACTGACGATGTCAGGCTGTTCTTTGGCAAGGTCAAACAGCGCATTGTCTCCGACGCGCCCTCCGGATCAAGCTCGATGCACGAACGCGAAGACATCTTCTCCCTCCTCCCCGTAAACGTCGCGGGCGAAGGCACCGACATCTACGATGGCCTCTCTTCCTACTTCAGCTCAACCGTCGAGCTCGGTGGACGCGTAGCGCGCATGGAGATGGCACTACTCGAACCCCCTCCCGTTCTGCAGATCCAACTGCAAAGAGCGCAGTTCGACCGTGCGAGCCTGACGCCGTACAAGAATCAGGCGTACGTCCGATTCGGGGAGACGCTGGCGCTTGATCGGTTCTTGGACGGCGCGTCGAGGGAAAAGGCGGATGCGAGTCATCGATTACAAAGAGAACTGGAGGAGGCGAGGGAGAGGTTGTTGACGCTGGGAAGCGGGCCGCATGCGCCGTACGAGGCCACACTGACCAATACGACGGAGTTCTTGCGTGAAGCTGCGCCGCTCGGTGTGGACGACGATCTGCTAGCCGCGCTTGCGGGCGAGCAGATGCACGTCAAGGACGAGCGCGCGGCGTTACAGGCGCGTGTATCTTCGCGTAAAGCCGAGCTCGAGGCGCTCTGGGCTGGAGATCGTGTGGCGGAGTACGAGCTTACGAGCGTGTTCATCCATCGAGGGAGCTCGCCCAGTTTCGGGCATTACTTCTTCTACTCGAGGAACTTACCGCATAAGCCGGACGAGTGGTTCAAGTATAATGATGCGGAGGTCAGTTTGGTGGGGAAGGAGGAGGTGTTGAAGGATACCACGGGGAGCACCGCGAACCCGTATATGGTATGTGATCCAAACTTGCGTGTGAGTCTAACGGTAATGCTAACTTGCTGCTGTAGCTCGTGTATGTTCGCAAGGGTGCAAACATCATTGATACCGTCGACCGGATCGACGAGGCGCAATCTCAGGGACAGGCTAGTATGGACACTAAGTGATGCATACGATCTGAGCGTGAGTCTCTATCCAAGTATACAACACGCGGAATCTTTGCTTTGCTGTAGCTATGAATCGTTCGAATACCCCTGCACAATGTATCATAACCTCTACGTACATGATGACTGTAACTATAGTTCGGCTGACGTCGAGCGTTGGACGTCAACGGATGACGATGAATCTCCGCCTGTTGAGATACAGCTGTTGCGATGCGCCAATACTATACATATGCACTCATGATATTGGTGTATGTGCTGGTGGTGTTGTGCGTTCCATGGGTCCTTAGACTTGAAGCTTATGTAAGGCGAAAAGAGTCGGGTGTCGTCATCTCGGCCCGAACTCCGCAACGCAGTCCACCCAAATCGTAGCTTGGTCGTGACCGCCGCGTTCGCGCAGGGCTGAGGGCTTGCGCCGGTTCTTCAGCTACGTCCATCATAACCTGGTCGCACGGCCTATCCTGCACGGCATTGCGACAGAGTGCACCTGTCTCACGCAGCCTGATCTCGCCGGCTCCTAGCATATATCCTCTCCACCAGCTTTATCCACGTACTGGCCGTCGCCATCATGTCACGCAGACCCATGGCAGCCCAAGCTTTTAACGTAGGGCGTGCAGCTGCAAAGCCTACCAGATACAGCTCCTCGAACACCAGCGCGCGTGCGGCCAGTCAAGTACGACGCGATTTCACGCTGAATCTTCCCGTTGATATCATTTGCGACGTGTTCCTTGCTCTTGCGGGGCTCGACAGTCCTTGTACTCCCAGATGCCAGGGAGATTATGGAGACATTTTTCAGCGCTCCGGATCTCTCGGTTGGATTCGTGCGGGTCACGTCTGCAGGCGGTGGCGAAGGGTCTTGCTAGATATGCCTGCGCTCTGGGCCAAGATCGTCTGTGTCTTCCCACAAAGCATCGAGACCATTCTTCTCAGGGCAAAGGGCGCGCCGCTCAGCCTTTACATCGATCAATGGACCTCTGCAAATGCGGTATGGGACATTATCAACCGGTACGATCTACTGCGCGGGGCACGCGTTTTGGACTGCAGCCAGGACTCGCAAGAGCACCGTCCTCTACGTGATTGGTCGGCGTACCTCGTAAACCGCCAACTCCCTCAGCTCCAGCACCTTACCCTACACATCGTTTCCTTCACTGACGTCGCCCATCTTCAATATCAACCGCCCATTGCCAATTCTCTGAGGAGCCTGGCGATCAATGTTCCCTTTCCTATCATCGCGCCCACGTTGGAATCTCTCCATACCATCGGCACCATATGGCACCAGCCAATGCTTTTGGAGTACCTGGAGCAGTATCCGGGGCTCCGCACATTGAACATCGATGCTGTCTCCGGGGACCATCGAGGTTTTGCAAGGGTGATCTCGGAGGAGACACTTCTGATCGCCGAGCGGATGAAACGCGAGTGCAAGGACGTATCCCTCGTACGGCTTCCAGACCTTCGGACTCTAAAATTTGGATACGCCGGGGAGAATGCGTTTCGGCTGGTACGCAACATCGAGGCGCCCGTGTGTGATAGATCTGTTGTTGCGAATGTATGGTCCCAGCCTGATCTACTGAGTTTGCTCGCGCGTTTGAGAGCACTGTGTCACGTAGACCTAAACGCCTTCACACTATTCGCCAGGGGCAATGCAGACCGGACCATTGATATGGCCTTTACCGACGAGCACCCCTACGTCGGACGCCCAGACGAGTTGGATGATAGGGCTTTCACTCGAGGCGTCTTGATTGGGTACAGCACAGGCTACGAACCCTATGTCAATAGGGTGCCATCTGTGCTCGACGCCTTGCCTTCTCCCCTCTTGATACGGACGCTCGTTCTCGATCATAGTTGCGATCACCTTTGCCGAGACTTGGAATGTGGAGGCATCATGTGGGATGTCTCCCCGGCAACTTTCGCTCGTGCTCTGAAGTCGTTTCGCAGCGTCACAACGCTTCATCTTGTCGGCCAGGAGGGCGGGATTAAAGTCCCAGCCATACTCGGGCAGAAGTTAGAAGACCTCCAGGAGTTGGTTTTACCCTCGTTGCGAGAACTCTTCATCACCTTACGCCGCCCTGCATGCCATGTATGGTGGGAGAATCTCAGGACCGTGCTGAGCGCACGTAAAGAAGCAGGATGCCCGATATCGCGCATGATAGTCCGTGGCGCCGGCGCCTGTCACACGTACCGGACCAATCGCTTCGAGAAGGAGCAAGCGAAGGCGTACGCACAACTCACCGCGAGCTCGACCAGCAAAAGCGACGCACTATCGAAGTGGCTGAAGTACTGTGAGGTCACGCTTGTGCAGGAGAGGATGTTGGTAACGGAGCTTGTGGATGAACGAGCGCTGAGCGCTTGCGACTGTGCAGCCGGTGCGTTACACCGGGGGAAACGCCCATGGGAGTTCGTCGAGCCGGAGACCAAGTCCATGCGACGGCCGCGGACAATCAGCTTGCTCGACAGCTCTGACCTATGTATGCCATTACCAAGTGGTATGCACGTCCGGGGAATCCATACAGTTCAACATTGAGGCGGGATCAGAGACGCAACGGGATGGCTTGCGTGAGTGATCGGACGCGAACAGTCACGAATTCACGCGAACAGTCACAGCTCGACGCGTGCCACCGGACGCGTTGACCCAACCTGCGGACCTTCACCGTCTGCCATCCTTCTTGCGCAAAGAAGGACACCATCTTGAGAGTTAGAAGTCAGATGGATATATAACTCGTGGACCTCTACTACGCCTACGGCTCGGTGCCTATGTAGTGCTACTGAAGTCGAACATGTCGTGGCGCGCGATTATCAGTTCGTCTTTGGACCGCCGGAAGACTTTTTTTTCAATATTAATACCATACTTGAGCCAGCGGTAAAGAGATGCAGGGTTGAAACAGAAAAAAAACGTTCAAGGAATCCAAAAATGATCAACTACCGCATCGATCCGGTTTGCTCAGAGTTCACCTGGAACGCGTGGGGCTCCAGGGGAATATGTTGGTACATTCAGCCTCAAGAATCCTACCCATGCCACGCATGAGTATGAGAGTACTTAGATATTCTGCCTCAATAGATATTTTGAGGTCAGTGCATGTAGGGCGCCCAGGCAAGCCACGAGGTCGCGGCGAGGCGATGCTCCGCTAACCACACGGCCGACGGACCAACGAGGGCTCGCGCAAGATTGTAGTTCTCACGTTGAGAAACAATAGAGGGCTGAGTCAGCTTCTCAAGCGGACCCACAAAGACGTTCGCTCGGATGCGGGAGTATAAACCTGCCGCGCCTCAGCATCGCTTCTCTCATGACCATCACCTCCCCCGCATCGCCGTGCGCTGCAGCATCCGTACCCGCATCTCACATCTAACGCTCACCTGGCATTCAACATGTCTCACGACACTTACTTTCCCTTCAACATGGGACCGAGCCTACATTCCGACGCGTCGGATGCAAACCAAGTGTGTATTGTTGTTCTATTGATTACATCTGTAACTAACAACGTCATGGAGAACAACCATCCTCCTCAGCCGTATATCCACAGTCACGATGAGTTCCACCAGAGCATCGGCGGTGGGACCTGGCCAGACTTCCTGAACCTCGAGTCCGTCGGTGGCATGTCCACCCTGGAGGTTAATGGAACCACACAGCCTCAGGGCTCTGCGCACGCGGGCGCCCAACCGTCTTCCGGTCACCCAGAAGCTCTCGGCCCGAGCGCACAGTTGCTTCCCCAGCAATGGGCGCCGCTCAACGCTCCCAACCACAGCAACTTCGTCGGTGGCAACATCGGGCCCGGCGCGAACGGTGGCCACCACGACATCGCGAATTTCGGACCACCAGTCCAAACACAGTTCAGCGCTGTTCAAGGCGTGAGCCTGGGCCACCCAACGCCCCCGACACCTATAGGGCCACCCACCCCGATGTACGAGCCGTCGACGGCTGAGGGCTCGAGCCGCCCACCGTCGGGCGGCCCCCCTCCACCAGGCTTGCCTGACATCGCCGACATCCCGCCCACCGGTGCTATCATCGGTATCGGGGAAGTCGTACTCGAACCGTATGCATCCTGGCTTTACCGTGCGGTGACAATTTATGGGCAAGGGGGCTGGTTGCATGAGTACTGTCTCTTTCTTTTGATATCCAGTAAGCTCTATGTCGCGTGCGACAAGAACATCTTTGACTCAAGAACCCCCCCACAGGTCATCCCGTCTCCGCTCAGAATGTCATCGACACAGGTCTCTTGGGCAGTATCCCACCGTCCGAGTTGTACATGGCACCCCAACCTGCCCTCGATTCGATGTACTACAACACCCATGCCCAGATCATGGCCCTCTACGGCCCGCCCAGCGCCCTAGCTGCGCCCATGCAAACGCAAACGCGTGGGACAGGCTGTACGAGCTTCTTCTTGCTACACACTATTTCATCTCCTCATTTCATCCCATCCAGGTGTCCAACGCACAACCCACATTCGTCAGGTGCGGCAACACGCGCCGTATACCACGACGACAACGAACCAGGCTGCCGCCACTGGCGCAGTCCTGGAACGCAACAACACTAGATCAACCGGCGCCTCTCGCAAGGGAGGTGCCCGCTCGAAAGGCGCGGGCGGAAAAGGATCGCTGCGCCCCAGCACGGCGAACGCGGTGGCGGGTCCATCGTCCGCGTCGACGCCGTCCACATCGGACGCCACGTTAGCCGAAGCGCTTATCCCTTCCGAACTGTCTCCGCGCGCCAGCAAGAAGGGCTGGATGAATGAGGAAAGGGAGGGTGGCTTTACGGGGCCACAGAAGAGCTCGCTGGATGGGATGTGTCGCGTAGGTGGTCTGCAGTGCACGTTCCCCGAATGCCCGAAGCAGGGGGACGTGTATAGCTCGCACCAGAAACGCAACGAGCATGTCATGGGCCAGCACCTTGATACGCTCAAGGAGCAGTGCGAACACTGTGAGGGATGGTACTCGCGCAAGGACGCCGTCAAGACGCACCAGAAGACTGGCAACAAGAGGTTCCCGTGCAAGACGTTGAAGAGGGAGTTCGAGAAGACGCACGGGAAGGGGAAGGGGAAGGCGCTGCCTGTAGATGAGGAGGACGACGACGACGAAGAAGAAGTGGACGTCGCCGAGGACGTCGGGTTTCAAGGATGGCCGAAGGGTGACGATGACGATAACACTGGATCGGGCGGGATGGGCGGGATGTTCATGACGAACTCCTTTAGTGGGATCCATGCGTATTAACGATGGAGTTATGAAGATATGATATGAGTTTCTTGAACTGATGACAACTGGCCTATACACGTACCGGTCTCTCTGTATAACACCTATCGTGGCTCATTTAACTGAGCATATGCATGCATGTTTCTGTACTTTCCACGGCCGCTTTAGCGTGATTGAAGCGCCATGCATGGCCACCAGGCCGTGGTCCGCATCTTCGGCGATAGAGCAGGATCTACAAGCGTTGTGGTCCGATGTCAACTTTCGGCGCATATAGACGCATATACCTGCGATAGGCCACTCACATCGTGACGATCGGGTAGTGTTACGGACGAGGAGAGGCGTGACAAAATCGGTGACAGAGGGGAAAGACGCGTCAAAGGCAAGGACCACACGGGTCACAAGCCCATTTTCCGCACCCCTGGTCCCCACCAGCCTTGAGTCCGTGCGCGACGAAGTACAGTTCGGTCGACTTATACGAGTGAAAGAGCGGAGACAAAGTCCACAACCACTTACAATGGTTTTTTTTCAACCATCTAGATGCGTGAGACTATCTGAGTTAAGCGTATTTATTGCTGCAGGCGCGCATAGGCTCTTGTGGAACTGGATCCACCATCGTACACCAGACTTGGAACTAGTATTCGGCAAACATCACCATCGTCTTCGATAGGATTGTACATGGGAGAAAGAGGCATGAATGGCTGTAGATGTAGATGTACAGATGAAATGCAGCAACGGGACTTCAGACATGCTCGAGAATATCTCAAATAATTGATACAAGTGGGATAATTGTGGGACATAAATCATGTTAAATCAATGACCGACGTATCGCCCACAACAACCGGCGCACGTCTCGCCTGCGTAGGGACCAGCGGTGCCCGGCTCGCGGTGCCGCCCTTCGGCAAAAGCGGCGGCGCGCGTCCCATAGCCGACGCAACCACAGCGCTAACCGAAGGTCCTGTCACATCCTCGTCGCCCGAGCCCGAGCTTGAGCTCGAGTTGATCTCGATGACAGAATCATCGATCTTGCGCGGTCGATGTGTAGGAGGCGGTCCTTTGCGACGAGGTGGCGAGCGGGGTGGTCGGCGAGGAGGGGATGCTGTTGGAGATGAGCCCAGCTCGATAATATCTTTTCTTCGGGGCGATGAGTGTCGGGTATTATGACGGGGCGACTTGCGCGGGGTATCGGTATCGGAGTAGCGTGTAAGTGATGGTGTGCGAGCTCGGCGGCCGGATGGGGTGCGTTCGATACGAGAGTGTTGAGGAGGGAGAGGTGGAGGAGGTAGTGCGTCGCGGTCGTCCTCGTCTGAGAAAGGTTCTTCGGGCTCGAAGGCGAGTGGGAACGGTTGCGCCACCGAGGAAGTTGTAGAGATGGCAGAGGTAGACGATGTTGTTCGGGTGAGTTTACGCGATTTGGCGAAGGTTTGATCGAGGTGTTCGAGCACAGCTGAAGAACCGCCACTTGCCGCAATACGTGTCGAAGCTGCGGACGTAACGGCACTTGATACGACGGTTGAGGGCGTGGTGATCAAGGGGTCCGGCGAGCGACGAGCAGTCAGATCCACTGTCCGCCGGACGGTAGCGGGTACTGTTGGACCTTTGCCTTTCGCTGCCGCCTTAGACTTGCTGACCCCGAAGAAGCTCTTCACAGTATCTGACGGGCCTGCGACAGGCTGCGAGCTGAATATAGGTCTTGGCGCGGCGTCGTCCGAATCTTCGTCCTCAAGGTATATCGGAGCTTTTGGCGGCGGCTTAGGCTGCGAGCTAAAGCGAGGAAGCGGATCTACGTCGAACGATTCTTCGTCTTCCATGTACACGGGAGGTTGCGAGGCAGGCCTTGACCGTGAGTTGAACACCGGTAGAGGAGGGATGTCCAGTGAGTCTTCGTCTTCCAGGTAAAGCGGGCGATATGAAGTCGATGCTTTGGGCTGAGGTGGGTTCGATGCAGTTGGACGCGACGGTTTGTCTTCGTAGTCGACGCTGTCGCTACGGAGTGACGGGAATGGAGCCGGAGCCTTCTTGCGTGAATGACTCGTTGTCGCGCCAGTCTTTCCCGCTGCCTTCGACTTCGTTGTAGGCTTTGAACGCCCCGGACGAGCAGGGATCACCGGTGCACCATCGTCGGACCCCGACACATTCCCGATGTCGAAGTTCTCCAGATCATCGTCGAATGCGCCCAGCGGGAAGTCCGCCGGTGCCTTCTTCTTTGTCCTCCTCCCCTTCGCGCCTGCCGTAGTAGCTGCACCACCACCCGCCAGCTTCTCCGCCGCCCGCGCGGCCTTGGCTGCCTTCGTCGCAGCTTTCTTCGCCTCGCCTCCCTCGAACTCCTCCACCAAGTCTGGACGCACAAGCTGCACGATTGAGGCGGGCACCCAAACCCTGTACGACGTAAGCGGGTCCACAGCCTCCTTGGGCGCCCGCTTCTTCTTCCCTGTTCCATCATCATCGCCATCATCCTCCATATCATCCGGCAGCACATCGAAAGTGGTGTCCACGGGCGGTCGAGTACCTTTCAATCCCGCTTTACATATCTTGACTAGGGTTTCGGGGTTGATAGAGATGCGGTATTCGAGCAGGCGATCGGTCATGGCGTGGTTGCGTACGCCATGAATCTGCTTGATGAGAACGCTCTCAGGTTGCTCGACAGCCTCCTCGGAGAAGTACTGCTTCACGAGCGCGAATGGCGTGCCGATGTACTCCACTCCAGCAGAAGATGTCTGCTTTCGAGCAACAGTCTTCTCTCCGCGTTTCCTCGCATCATCCTCCAACGCTGCCCTACGGAATACCCGCTGAACAGCGCTATTCCACAGCACGGTCCTGAACCGCTTGATGATGACCTCCTCGAACCCCCACTCGAAGTACATCTCACACACGTTCGCGATCTTGCCGAAATCCGGCTCCTTCTTCCATTCGGGCGGGATATGCGTGCGTCGGGCCGAGGCGTCTGTTTTGGACGTGACGGGATCGGTGTAGAGGTATAAGACTTCGAGATCGGGGAAGTTCTCTGGCCATTCGCGTGCGAGCTTGAGCATGCGTTTGTCGAGCATGCCTTTCGAGTTTGTCTTGAGCTCGTCTCGGAGGCGCGCGTTCCATCCCACCAGAAAGGCGGGGAGATCGTCGCGAGAACGAGTCTGCACTGCGTCGAAGAGTTCGTCGCCGAAACCGCATCGCGCGAGTCCGTGGGCGGTCTTCATGCCGCAGCCTTTGACACCTTCGGAGTAGTCGCCACCACTGAGGAGACCAATGAGGATCATACCGCCGCGCGTGAGCTGGATCTGGCTGTGGTGCAAGATGTCGGAGGCCTTGTAGATGTGCGAGTGCTCTTTGTCGTCGCGTCCATCGGAGTTGAGGACTGGATGGGCGATGTTGGCGGAGAGTGTGTTGCTCGTGCTGTAAGGATGTCAAGTAGTCAGTGATGGGCGTCTATCAGATGGGCGGGATGGTGGCTGACTTGCGGACGACCATTGTAGCGCCGAACAGGAAGGTGTCGACATCGTCAGAGAGGACAGCGTCAATCTGGCCGATGCTGTTCAAGTATGCGAGTTCGGCCTCTGCCTCTCCAGGCGCCTGTACAAAACAAAAGACCGTATTCATTAGTGCCACAATAATCGCACTGAGACCTCGAGCGACTCACCATCCTCCACTCGAAGCCAAAAGCCGCAATAATCCTCTTCATCCCGTCGACCATCCAGTGGCTCCCCTTATCAATCCTCTTGCCCCTCTTAACATTCGGCCTCTTCGGTCCATCAAACACGAACACCGGCAAGAAAGGTTTGTTCAATAACCGCGTGCAGCGGAAGAACAGAGTGCGCAGTTCGGGATTCTCGCCCTCGCGGCCATTTTCGGCGTGGAAGAACCAGATGGAGGCGTCGATGCCAATGCGGAAGCCGCGGAGGTTGGAGGTGTTGGCTTCGAATCCGTCGACGACGGCGAGGTGGTAGTGCGAGCGCGGCTGGGCTGCTGGTCGCAGGACCTGTGTTCACGTGCCCACTATCAGTAGCAGTATCTACACTTCAGTAGTATCGTACGTACATCCCATAGCCCGTTGACGCCCATAGAAGTCGAGAGACCGCGGAAGTGGTGGCGAAAGGTGAACGGCGCGCGACACGGGCGCTTGACGCGAACCAATTGAACACGCTCACGTGCGTTACGGGATGTACCGATACGCGTCGCACACGAGTCAGGACGCGTTCATCGGGGAGATTGGCGCCGAGGATTATCAGCGTGGAGGCGACAGAAGACAAGTGTGTGCGTCTAGAAGTAGAAGGTGGTACATGGGCGGGTTTGTGTCTACGTGTTCTTCTCTACAGGGCATCCGGATTCTCAACTGTCTCGTAGAACTCCTTCGCGATCCTTTGTTGTGCTTGCAGGGCACTCTCGTTCTAGAACGGCATCAGTATCCAGATTTCCCAGCGTCTAGCTGTAGAGGTACGTACTCCAGTCGCCGCGATGCCGCGGACTACAAGGTACTTGCGGCCCATCAGGATGTTCTCGGTGACGTCGCCATCGTGCGGCGAATCCGCTGATCCTGTCACAAAGCCACCGGCTTCTTGTGCAATCACTACACCAGCCTAGCCACTCATGAGTATCACTCAGAGCACATGTCCGTCCAACTCACGCATACGTCCCAAGCCCAGCATCCGACCTCCCTGAATACACGTTAGTGTTGAAGTAAGCGCGCATCAAGAGCAAGACATACCAGTACATGTCCAAACCTCCCTGGGCAACCATAGCAAAGTTCAACGCAGCACTTCCCATCGAGCGCAGCGAGTGCGCCATCTTGCCCTTCTGAACGCCGTTCTCGGGATCGCCAGCCAGACGCAAGAAGCTGTCTGACTTGGCTACGATTGTGGGGGCTTTACGGTCCGATCCCCACTCAATCGCTGTAAATTGAAACGTAAGCACGCCAGGAAGTTGCAAATGCTAGAGGCGTGGACATACCGATCAACGCTTGCCCGAGCGAGGGAAGAGGCTTCGCGCCGTACAACGGCAACTTCAGCGGGCTTCCGCCATTCTTGATCAAGAACGAGCCCTGCCCTTTGACGCCGTGGTAAAGATGGTCGAGGAAAGGGTTGTAAATGACACCCAGTACCGGGCGCTTCTGGTCAATGAGACCGATCGAGATGCAAGCGAATGGAAAGCCGTGGACGAAGTTCGTCGTTCCATCTGTGAAAATGCAGGGTCGATAAGATACGGGATGATCGCGGAAGGCGACGGTGAGTGAACAGGCGTACCGATAGGGTCGACACAGAATGTAGGCGCGTTTGTGAGAGGAGGTCGTGTGCCAGAAGAGTACGACTCTTCGCCGATGCTGCCATGGCGAGGAGTCAACCCATCATCTGAGCACTGCGAAGGGCAGGGCGCTTACAATCCGAAGTCAGGATACTTCTTCTTAATCTCGCCCTTGACGAGTTCCTCAGTCCTGACGTCGTACTCAGTAACGAGATCAACGGAGTTCTTCTTCTCGTTAATATCCGACGCTGAAGCCTTCGCGATGGTCTCGGAGCCTTCTAAGATCAGTTTGCCGGCTTTATGGGCTAGATCGACGGTGAAGGCCAAGAGCTCCTTCAGTTGCGATTCGGAGAGCGGGGCCATGGCTGCACTGGGCTGAGGGTAGGTGGTGGTAGGAAACAAGGTGCGTGTCTGGTGCAGCTCTGACGTCCGTCATCGTGCACGTTCGACTCATGGAGGAAACGGCGCAAGCTTGTGGCGATTGCCATCACGTTAGCGCTCGCGCGTCAATTGCCCCAAGCTTGACTCTGCGCTTCCACCATCTCTCTCTAACCCAACTACGCCATCTTGGATAACGGTGCGTGTGAAACGGACTCATGGTGTTTTGATGTAGAGAGGTGAACGAGCGACGCCCCAGAAGTGGCTGTAAGGACTGCACCGGTCGGCCGAGCCGACGTAACTAGTGACAAAACATATCTCTTGAGAAAGAGAATCAGGGTACGTCTGCTCAGGCTCTCCAGATCAAAACCGTCTAATAGTGCTTTAGGGCTGGGGAAGCGGTTTGTCTACACGTATGCACTCGACACAGGGCTCTAACAAATTTGTGATAGGCAGTACTGCGATCGGCGACATTCACGCGGTTACATAGGGACTCAAATATCATATACGCGAATTTGAGGTGCAGAAAACAGTATGCATGCAATTGAACTGAAACTAATACTCCATTAGACGCGCATGGGATGGCTCGGCAAGATGGAGACATACCACCCCGCCCCCGTCCTCGCTCAAGCACCAACTCCTTCACCTTCAGCTGGCGCCGCAAGCTCAACGAGCCCAGTCCTGCCGCCCCACCCGTGTCCAGCTCTCACGTGCAGGAGACGAGGACGTTACAGGAGATCGTCGCGTCGCTGACACCCCCTGGCGTACTGTCCAGAGTCACTGCGCGGCAACTCGTCGAAGCGCTCAAAGTCGCCAATATACCCGGAAACACGCAAGGTCTCATCAGCGTGTTGTCTTCTTTGTGCTGCAGCGAGCTCTCTGTCTTGAGGATCGTCGGCTATGAGGCGCTCTCTGCGTATCTCGGCAACCCCTCAACGCCCCCTCTATCCGAGCACGAGCGTTTTGTGCTCTTCTCGCTCTTCCCGTCTCCAGCGCCGCACTCCTGGAACTACGACGTCTGGGAGAAAGCGCAGCCGGCTCTCCAAGTGCTCACAAAAGACGGCGCGGAGGTCGTGGGAATAGAGATCCCCTTGCTGAGCCTGTTACGCTCCTGGATCGAGGGTGCTGTATTCGGCCTTCTCTCTCCCGATAACATCTCCGCGAGCGACCGCTCTCAACGCGAGAAGAGCGTATTGAGCATCTGCGAATTTCTCACGCGCACGATGACCGAAGCGAAGACCATGGCGCGTCTCAGCGAGGAAGAGTCGACGAATATGCTGCAGTATCTAGGCGACGTCGTCGATAGGTCATTGCTCATACCGACCGAAGTGTTCGGCTCCCCTCCGCTACCAGCAGAGGCACAGACGCCCGTCACACCTGCGCGTCTGATCCATAGGCGCCATCATTCCTCGACGTCCATAACGCAAGTGACCGCCTCCGGCTCTTCGACCACGCATGCTCTCCGTCGGCCCTCGGACGTGACAGTTGACGTCTACCTCAAGCACCTCTCCTCCCAAATGCGCTACATGTCCCCCTCGCATCTCATGATCATGCTCCCCGTCCTCTTCCGCGCGCTCGCATTCTACTCTTCGCCGCTCCCACGGTTGTCGCTCACCAAGAACAGCGACTTTGATACGGAGCACGAGTTAGAGAGAAGGATTGTCGAGCTTCTTCATCCGTTATTGAACGGCGCGTACTCGTCAACATGCTTTGTCATCATGAAGCGCCATACCCTGCCGGAAGTATCTTTGGACGCGCGCGCCTCCGTCCAGACGTCTCTAGGAGCGTGTCGCGCGCTGCGCTTGTACTGGCGCAGAGCTCTATGCGCCAGGCTAGCCCGCGCCCTACTCGCACGCGCCACGTCCGACAACTATACCCCCTCTGGCGCACCGGGCGGCATGGACATTGACACTTCGCTCATGGAACGCGCCTGGCAGAAAGACGAAGTCACGCGCGGCGAGCTTAACCGCGTCGGGCGCTTATTCAGGCGCGCATCGGAGGCGTGGGTCGGGCTTAACGCCGACGCCGGCTTCGCGAGCGGGAACTTGAGCGAGAGGGAGGAGGTGTTGTTGGAGATCGCTGGTGCTGTCAGGGATGTGTTTCAGGAGTATGACCTGAGGGGCGATTTGGAGGATGTGGATGAGGAGGAGAAGGGCGTCATTGGGAGTATCTTGGGGTCTTTAACGGATTTCGTCCATCCGCTTCAGTAAGTTTGCCTTCAGCGTTTATATATGCGTGCAGAGTGCTAATGATCATCCGTTTGTCTATTTACTAGGGTGGAGAACGGCACACCCTACATCCTCCCGCTCTCGCACTACAACGACGGATCAACACCTTTCCTCCGCGTCCTCTCATACCTCCTCTCCCGGGACCACAAAACAACACCAACGACACCTCCACTAACATCCATCCTCCTCTCTATATCCGACCACCTCTCAGACCTCTCTACATCTCGCACAATCGAAACCATGCTCAAACGCGGCGACCTCTCACCCATCTCAATGGACTGGATAACCCACTGGGCCATCATATTCAACAAACCCGAACTCTCGTCCTCCTCTCGACCAATGACGCGCCTCTCGATTCTAGACGCCATGCAAAACGTCTTCCAATCCGTCCGCGACGTACCCGTACACCGCGTGCCATTCGTAGACGTCATACTGGCCAGCTGCCAGGCGCACGAGGTCGAGAAGGATAGAGATGGGTATGAGGTCGTGTGGCATGTGCTGGCGGACGAGATGATCATGAGGTTGAGCGAGGCGCAGGAGTTGGTCTGGAATGAGGAGGCGGATGCGGGTGCGGAGGGCAGCGAGACGGTTGGGCCGCCTAGTGCGCAGACGGCGCTTGATGCGGAGACGGTCACTGCCGACGCAGATACGGCCATCGCTGAGCCGGTGGAGATTGAGACGGTCGCTGAGCCTGAAGCCATCGCTGAGCTGGAACCCGAAGCACACGTCGATTTTGAAGCAGATCCTGAAGTGGACGCTGAGCCCGAAGTGGATGCCGAATCTGGTGCAAGCGCCGAACCTGAAGAGGACGTTGTACCCGAAGCTATCGCTGAACCCGAAGTCGACGCAGAGCCAAGTGTCGAACCGGGCGATGATACCACGGAAGCCGCTGACCCTGAGCTCGCCGACGAGTCAACGGCTGTAGACGTCGAGCCTGAGGCAGAATCGGATGAGCCGCCACCCGAAGAGGTTGAGACACCCGCGGAGGCGGAGGAGGCGTCAGCTGTTGATGATGATGATGGCGCGGGCGCGGGCGCTGATGTGGGCGAAGTGGCGGAAGGAGCGCCTGATGCGGATGGCGCGGAAACTCATGCGCCGATCGGAGCGGAGCATGCTGAGGAACCGGTTGAGGAAGGCGAGGGCATTGGTGGCGAGACGGAAGAACCCGCATCCGCGGATGAGGGGGTCGAGGGGGACGGGGAGCCACCGACGGAAGAGTCGGAAGAGAGAGATGAAGAAGTAGAAGCTCCTGTGGAGACTGCGGATGGTGCAGAGGAAGATGCAGAGGGAGTGGTGCCAGAGGATGGAGAAGCCGTCGCTGCAGAGGATGACACGCTTGTGGCGGCAGTTGATGAGGATGCGGTAGCGGCAGGAGCGGGTGATGAAGATGCAGAAGACGGTGAAGGTCAAGACACCGCGGCGGAGGGTGGGGAGGCAGTAGAGGTGGAGGTGGATACGACTGGTGTTGATGCTGAGGTGGAACCTGGTGTGGATGAAGGGGGCGATGTGGAGGAAGAGGGCGTAGATGAAGCGCATGAGCCTGACGTCGAAGGAGATGACGCCACTGCTCTTGATGCCGAGGAAGTGGCCGAAGGAAGCGGCGAGGCTGTTGAGGACGTCGAGGATGCGACCGAAGAGGGTGGCGAGGTCGTTGAAGAGGGCGGCGAGGCGGTCGAAGCGGGTGACGCAGGTGAAGCGACGAGCGATGAAGTCGTTGAGCAGGAGCAAAGTGTCGAGGCAATTCCCGATGCAACTGCTGATGTGACCGAGGGAGGCACGCTGGAGACTGAAGAAGCTGCCGTACCCGATGCTGAAGAGCAACTCCCAAACGACGCAGCTGTTATAGCAGGTTCGGACGCGGACGAGGCCGTAATCATCGAGGACGAAGCCAACGCCGAAACGTCAATCTCGCCAGAGGACCACCGTGTCGAAGAAGACCTACGCCCTGAGGTTGCTGTCGAAGCTGAGTCCGTAGGAACCAAAGCTACCGCAGCTGCTCTCCATTTCGTGGACTCTGTCCTCGATCTTCTATCTGGCATTGCCATCAATGCCGAGGATGATGAGCCCGAACCCCTCTCGGCTGTCAGTCCTTCTTCGGCCCCTCACTCCAACCCCTTCTCCCGTGCACACTCGGAGTACTCTCCGCCCGTACGAGAGAAGGAACCCGGACTCATGTCGCTCTTGTCCGCGTTCACCTCAGGCGGCAATAGCCGCTCACAGTCGCAGCAAACCCCTCGTTCAGATGACACTATCTCGGTGGCAGAGACGACGCCCGTTCCGGACACCGTTGTGCCTGCGGCTGTTGGAGCTGTGGTCACCCTCATCCACATCTTCAGCCAGTTGGCCTTTACTCCCTACGCGACATCAGAGCAGAGCAAAGCTGTCGCCATCAGGATATTCAAGACATTCGTCGAGATGCTGCGAAGGGCCAAATCTTCGCGCGTTAGGCTTACCGTCTTGCAGTTCTTCTTTCGGCTGAGGGTTGACCGGGACCATCGCTTGTTCACCGTGTATGAACGCTACGATCGACTGGGCCACATTGCGTCTATCGCAGCCATCATCCAACGTACAGAACCTGTGCCTGGATCCGTACCCGCAGAGCTCGTGGCGCCACAGCCTGAGGAGGATGTATCGATCGCGGCGGCTACAAGGGCAAGAGCGTTGCAGCGCGATGGCCGACGAGCGTCTCGTGGTCGGGATCGGCCGGATAGATCGGCGTCTAGCCGTAGTCGCTCCCGCGTAGCTTCCAGACTCATGTCGCCCACCGAGGTCGCTGCTCCGACGGACCCAGCGTTTCGCAAACCTTTGTGGCGTGTGCCCGAAGCTCTCCCGTTCAAGATACCTGAGTCCGACACGCCGAGCGATGGCTTGATGTCCTACGATCCAGAGACATCGAACAACGGTCTGGTCCTTCCGACGTCCAGCATGCTGCACATCTTCATCGAGATCCTTCGCTCAGAGAGTGATTGGGATATCATGGCCTATGTTCTTTGCCATCTGCCCACGCTTCTAGCAAATAAGCATCTGTTCTGCGGTCCCAAATCCCGCCAGGCCATTACCATCCTTCTGGAAACCCTCTGCAACGGCATCTTGAATGGGGAGCTCGGGAAATCCATCGCCCAGTGGCCGCTGAGCCTGCGTCCTCGAGACGCCCAGGGGCTCGCTTTCCATACGCTGTCGGTCCTCATCAGCTATCGCGACTGCTTTCTTGCGCAGCAGCGACACGTCTTGGTTCAGGTTCTCATGTCTGGCCTCAGCGCTCAGTTGTCAACCGTGAAAGCTTGCATTCAAGCGCTATCCATCGCAGCCTTTGAACTTCAATCCTCCGTCCGCCGCTTCCTGCCCGAGATCCTCACCAAGCTCTCGCAGATCATGACCAATGCATCCATCGCAACGCATATCATTGATTTCTTGGCCATCGTCGGCTCCCAACCATCTCTTTACGCCAACTTCATCGAGGGCGACTTCAAGATGGTATTTGGTGTTGCGTTACAGTACCTGCGTCTACACAATCGTCCGGATTCTCCCGAGAGCACATCCGTACTGTCGCAGCACGTGCGCCTTATGTCCTTCTCCATCGTCTACACTTGGTTCCTCGCTGTCAAACTTGCGGATCGACCGAAGCACGTGAAGTATATCACTCGGCAGCTGCTACTTGCCAATGAAGGACGAGACGATGTCGACGAGCCGACGGAGGTCTGCTTCGACTGGCTCGCACGCTACACGTACAGCAGCGGCGATCCACGGCCGGCAAGCTCGATGCTCAGCGAGGTCATCATGAAGCCAAACTTCGACGTCCCTCAGTCCGATGTTGTAGCGGAGAAAGCCTGGATTATTGGAAACGCCCTTGTCAGCATTCGCGCATTGACCAAGCTCGGGTGGCTTGAAGTCAGCGCACGCCGTCCATCAGGCTTGACGCGCTTCTTGGCCCGCGTCGAGAATATCCCGATGGTTGGACCGGGTGAGGTGGATCCTGACTCTGTCTCTGTACCTGCCATCCTTGCGATGGATCGTGAGTCGGGCGGGGAAGAGGATGTGTTGTATCAGGTACGAGCGCCTAATCTCGGTCTTAGCAATCATGCTCACGTCATTGCAGGAAGTCATGAACACGATCTTCCCGCCTCCAACTCAAGACGCGGCAGATGAGGAAACCCCTCCACGACCCGATCCCATCACTGGATATGTGTGGCAGGGTACTGCGCCGTCCCAGCGGCGAAAGGAGGTTGCCATCGACCCGTCCTTCTTTGCCCTACAGCTTTCTTCGTATCCTGGCTCGCGTCAGAAGACAAGAATTCAGGACCTATCTGCCGTCCCGTCCTTCCTACGGACCTTCGATCGCATGCCCGTGATCGACACGCACAAAGTCGGCATCTTATACGTTGCGCCCGGTCAGTCTACGGAGATCGAGATTCTCGGCAACGTCCACGGCTCTCCTGCCTATACCAGGTTCCTCGAGGGGCTCGGTCGTCTTATCAATCTGCGCGGCCAGAAGGATGTGTACGCAGGTGGTCTCGATCCCGACGAGGACGGCGAGTACGCATACGCGTTCTGGGACGACATAGGACAAGTGCTCTACCATACCGCTACGCTCATGCCTAATCATGACTACGATCCTCAATTCAATACGAAGAAGAGGCACATCGGCAATGACTTCGTACGAATTGTCTGGAACGACTCGGGCACACCGTATCGCTTCGACACACTGTCTACGCAGTTCCAGTTCTGCAATATCGTCATCGAGCCGCATTCGCTCGGCGCCATTGCTGCGTTCTCGGACAGTCAGCACGCAAACGAATATTTCCGCGTGACGGTGCAACGTGCTCCGGACATGCGGGACTTCGCGCCTCTCGGAGACTTCAAGCTCATATCGGCGCAGAACTTGCCTTTGCTCGTGCGCCAACTGAGTCTCCTTGCGGACTGGTACTCTTCTGTCTACCAGTACGTCAGCCGAGAACCCGGCCAGGAGATGGAGACGAACTGGCGTTCTCGTCTGCGCGCTTTGAAGCGGTTCCGCACCAAGCAACAGGATGCTCAAAAGCCCGCCGAGTCTGAGCAAGAGGCTATCCACGGCATCTTGGCGCAGGAGGCCGCCCGCGATTTTACATCGTTATATTAATTTCTCTTTGGTTAACGTTTCTTACGTTTCGTCTTCCTTCCAACCCATCGCTTTGCTCTCGCACGCCTATCCTTTTGGAACATTCAACTCTGTACCTTAGTTCGGCATTACTCATCTACGCATTGACATCGCTTGTATCCAAGTCGTTCATACCTGATGTAAACACTATTCAGAATCGCTAGTAAACGTAGTATCTGTATCATCCTCCTCCTCCCAGTCGCCGTACCCGGGGAATCTCCCTTCCGATATCGCGGTTGCGCAATCACATGCGTCCAAGTCGCGTTCATCAACGACTTCGACCACCAATTCCTTCTCGGGCAACAAAGTGACCTCGCACTGCTTCAGCCATGCAGCATTCATGTCGTCCGGATTTCCCTCCACGCAACTTGTTATCCTAGCGTACTCCTCTTTGTCTTCCTTGAGAACATATGCATGGCAAGCAAATTCTCCGCGCACTACGAGGCGCTCTATCCGGCCTCCCACGGCCGTCCGTCGAAGAAGAATCTCGCGCAAGCAGGACCACCAGATTGTACTAGACACATAGTCCAGTTCGATTACAAGCGTGCGTAAAGCCGGTAACACGAGATTGCCTGGGGAAACCTCGACGGTGAGGAACGCGAAGACGCCCGTATACCCTCCTTGATCAACGAGATGGAGAGTGTTGACGTTGGTGTAATCCTTCAAGGATAGCCCAAGCTCGTAAGGATCGACATCGCCTCCGAAGGTTCCTAGGCACTCAACACTTTTGCAGCGATGGCAATCGTGATGGAAAGCCAAGGTTGACAGGGATGAAGGGTCGGGTACGATACTCAGTACGTCTGGTATGTCACTGTTCGCCAATGAGGCGCACATGAGAACGCCGTCGTCGAAGTCTTCGAGATCTGACGCAGTGTCAAGGTATGGTTGATCCTTCGTCATAGATATTTGAATGGTCTTCACATAATTGATCGTCGTGTCAGTGAGAGTGAGAGTTGCGTGTCGACTGCGGAATGTTGCCTTGACAGCCAAGAGCAGAGGAGCGAGATAGCTCTGCTCCCGGACATGTTCGGTGACAAACGAACAGTCCAGAGGAAGATCAAGGTGATGGAGTAGATTGATCGCCTCTGGCCCAGGCCAGAGGATCCTCAAGCTTCGGAGATGAGACAGGCGCACGGTCGAAAGCGCATCAAGCTCCCCGACCATGAGCTGAAGCGACGTCTGAGATGCCGCACTCATGATCTCCTCCATGCGCGGGTCGTCTCCGTAAACGCCGTTGATAGTGATTTCTTCGAGAGAAGGATGGCGACGAAAAAGATCAAGATACAGCCTATAAGGCCAAAGGGGTCCCGTCGAAAGAAAATGCGTCAACGCGGGAGCCGCCACCGCAAGGGGATAACCCAGTGTTAGACGCCGCAGATTCGGAGCGACCAGGACGGGTTTCGGCTCGAGAGTGGAGTACGAGAACTCGCGAAGGGCAAGGCTGAGGTTTTGAAGTTGGGGGAGTGTCCTATATTGCAGGAGGACCTCGGGCCAGTCATGGCGTGACGGTGTGTAACGGTCGAGGTAAGGCTGATATTCGAAAGTGTGGGCTCTGGGAAGCCATTCATGGCTCCGTATGAGATCCCAAGCATCGTCCGCCTGTACAGAAGCATCGAGGTCCAGATTGAGAAGCTGCGTTTTTGTCCTCTCGGCGATGGTAGCTGCCCCGCGTGGAAACACGCAGATGATGTCTGCCCACAATTTGGACATATCCAATCCCGTTTTACGCCAGTGACGACACACATGAGTCACTCGTAACCACCCCAGTGATACGGGCCTATGGTATCGCTCGCCTGGACGTCCAAAGGCTCGAGCGGGAGCGTCGTCTTCAGCGAGGATGTGGAACAGCTCGCAGAGAATGTCGTCTTGGAGACGTGCAGGTTGCGGTCGCGTACTGAGGACGGGTGTCTGCATCATCGTGGCCGAGCCCACGTCGGATATATGCCTGGTTCAAAGCCGTAGCACGAAAGCCTCCCGAATGTGACGAGTGTTATAACAAGCATGTTGAAGTTCGTACGCGTTGCCTCCAGCGAAACGTAGGTCCGGGCCGGCCGGCCGATCACTCGATCATTTCGCCCACTCATGCCGGCAGCGCAATAAGTTGAGTTCTGACCTCGACGATGAGGTCTTGTACAACTTCACCGGTGGCGGTGCACTGGTACTTACTGCAACAACAAAGATACGCGTAGAGGATTGCGTCTTTCCCCACGCATGCTATCCAAACGCGTGCTTGGCCACGTCTGACGTCGTGGCTTAGCGCATGCAGCCGCGATGTGGCGCCGCTCCTCCCGAAGGCTTGCGCCAGGCTGGGGACTCAGCTGGGGACGGGAGTCTTCGCTGGTCTCGAGCGCTGGAGCACATCGCCATAAGAGGTCGTGACGCTGGCTATAAGACCTCTTGCGCAACTGTCGAGCATGGCCACCATTCTCAAACGCGCACTCCCCACCCTCGCGTCGCGAAGAACTACTCTCGCCTGTTCATTTCACGCATCTCGTTCACATCTGAACGCTTCACGTTCCCCATTCTCTACGTCTTCACGCATCACCATGTCTCAAAACCAGAATAACTTCAAGGTCGAGAATCTCTTCAGCGTCAAAGACTGGGTCGCTGTCGTCACCGGCGGCGGCACCGGCATCGGTTTGATGGCTGCACAGGCGTTGGCCAACAACGGCGCAAAAGTCTGTGAGTAGCAATCTCTTCTTCCTGATGCATATCACCCAGCACTTAACCTCTCCCTTCTAGATATCGTCGGTCGTCGCAAGGAGGTCCTCGATCGTACTGCCGAAGTCTGGGGCCAATCTCTTGCGCACCCGTCCGGGAAGCTCATCCCGCTCATTGCCGACATCGATTCCAAGGAGTCCATATCCAAGTTAGTCGAGGAAGTTGGCAAGCGCGAGAAGTATGTCAACGTACTTGTGAACAACGCTGGAATCAGCAAGGTCAGTTTGAAGCGTGGTATCCCTGTGCTAGAATCTATACTCACTGTTATGTAGGGCTCTAGCGAGGTAGAGCAAGGCGAAGAGGGCGCCAAGCAATTGCACGATGAGCTATGGTCAGAGAGCCTGAACGACTGGATGGACGTCTACAAGACGAATGTCGTCGGGTATGCTATGTTTCGGGTCTCGTTGACACGTTCCTCAGCTGACAATTGTTATAGGCACTTCTTTACGGCCGTCGCATTCCTTCCACTACTCAGCGCCGCAACGGAGAGTATCGCTGGTCACTCGGGCTCGATCATCAACATCACATCCATCTCTGGCATCACACGCACAACGCAGCACCACTTCAAGTATAACGTCTCGAAGGCGGCTGCGAACCATCTCAACACGCTTCTCGCACAAGAGTTCTCGCGCCCAGGTGTCAAGGTTCGCGTAAACGCTATCGCGCCCGGTGTCTTCCCGAGCGAGATGACCACGAAGGAGTCGGACGACAAGAACAAGAGTTATCAGAGCGCTGAGGGCTGGCGCGAAGAGAAACAGGTGCCTGCAGGCCGTCCGGGTAAGGACGAGGACATGGCACAAGCTGTCTTACTCTTCGCCGTCAACCAGTACGCCAATGGGCAAGTCACTGCTATCGATGGCGGTTACCTGCTCGGTCACCCCTGAGCACTCTCAACCTGTTGAACCTTCTCATTCTGTACGCTACTCGCATGGGCATCTGCAATGTACTATACACGACCACAATCAACTGTATCATATTTGTGCGCTACCGTTTTCCATCCTGATCCACTGTACTCTCAAATGAACTTACTGGTGAATATAAATATCGCGAGGGCGTCTGTGTTCGTGCATAAAGTCCACTTTCGTGTTGAACCCTAAGGTCATACACGGCCCCACAGCATTAAATAAGTCCTGTTTATTCAGACGTTCCCACGCGTCCAGACACCCCCTCCCCAGCTGGAAAAAACCACCAGACAGTGGTTGAACCTGCTCGTCCAATCGTATAAATGGCTCGAACTGTACCTTGTCTTTGTCTTTCACAGACCCAGAAGTGCGAGCGACAGTGCGGGAATATAGCCTGGGATTCCAGTATTTCTCTTTGACGCGTCTTCTTCCGTGGTTACCAACGTCGTCACGCCCCTCCTCGTTAGCAAGACTGCCCGATCATCGCGATGTGAGTGATCTGCCTTGTGTTTATGCGCCAGTATGTGGCCAAGGCTAATGCCAGGCCACAGCGATCGAGACACCTCGATTTATGCGTGATGATGTGGAAACCTCGCCGCGTGCTCATGCACATCCCGCAACTGGATAATCCCGGCGACCCGGCACGGAGCAGGCCAACGAGCTAGTGAAACATGCATATATTTGTTCAGCGCAGCGAACTTTACAATTTGGTATTACAGGACAGGCTAGTACGTGTATGTGCCGTTCGTCATGAGGTCCAGGAAGCTCATCTGTTCATATATTTCGTCGTCGATACGCCTGACATCCGCTGAGGGAACCGCCGCAAGCAGCGCCCCAACTTCGCAAATCTCGCTCGACGTCATGATCGCCTCCTCCCCACCACTACTCATCTACCTCCCCGTCCTCGTTCTCACCCTCGTTCTCACCCCCGCCCTCCGCGTTCTCGGTCTCCCCCGAGTGCACCTTCTCCATATGGCGCTCGAAACCGTCATCGCGCTGGATCATGAACCGCTGTCCCGCCGCCTGTTGCTCCGCCGGGAGCCGCTTGGTGCATATGACACACTCGCGCCCGAGAGTCTCCAGATGGGTGCCCAGGACATGGCGATTGCGGACCTGCAGCG